CTCGAAATGCACTAATTGAAATAGACCGCTTAAGTATGAAGCACAGATGTAAACATTTATTTGTGGTTTTGTTTTATTTAGATAGGCTTGATATATTCACAGTACACTTTTGCTGCATTCTGCAGTTTGATTTCAATACAGCTTCCAATGATTTGAAAAATTTGTAATGAACTTATCTATTACAAATCTTCTTAAGTTGATTATGTTGGGAGCTTCATTACGCTCTCTTCTCGCTGGCCTTGTAGCTCAGTGATTGTATCAATAATAAGAAAGTTTGTTATATCGGCAAAGCCGGAGCAAGTATATTTATTGAAAGTCAGATACAAACTAAACTGAACTGAATTATTTAATTGGATTTGAACCCAAAGGCTGCGCGCATAAGTCTCAGCTGATATATCCGGCAAACCGAATCAGCATACGCCAACACAGTCGCTTGCGACATAAGCAAGTGTCAGGTTACCGCTGCTGGCCGCAGTGGCCGGGCACTGAACTCATTCGTCAGCAGAATGTCACAATGTAAGCAAAGGGCACTGCAACATTCTTGCGTTCTTATAAACAAAAGTGTGTTCTTAAAATATAAAAATAAACTGGAATTCTTATGTGTTAACTTGCACACACATGCGTTCACACATATAGAATTGAAATTATGATAATATCAATTATGCACCATTCTCTGGTAGGTGCTGCTATTTTTGTTCTTTTTCTTTCATTGAGAGTAAATTTTGTGAGGTATGATGCGGTGGCGCATATGGTGTTGGTAAAATAAGGTTCAAGGTGTGCCCTAGCCGAGCACTCCCTACTAGAGCACTCTTACCTTTTAACATTTCATCTGCTTACGTTGTTTGTTTTTGTACCGTTAAATCACGAAATAAATACAATGTCCAAAGCATAAAAATATTATACTTTTTCCATAAATTCATATGTATTTCAGTTACTTTATGTAATTGATAAAATTTATTAAAAAAATTTATAAAATTGAATACCAATTCACGCAAATGCAGTTAAGTTCTTTTTTTTTACACATAAATGGACTGATACACAGAAATGCAGTGCAACGACGGCACTCAATTATGTGGAGGTAGCAACAGAGTATGTGCTTGTAAATTGCAAAGTCAATCGCAGTCGGCTGGCGTCAATCGAAAGATGTGTGTGACCGTATAACAGGACCGCCTGCAGCCACAGGACTTTTGATGGGCGCTCCAGTTGCCACCTACAAGGAATGATGAGCCCAACGCTCCAGAAACAGTAGATTATTCTCCAATTGTCCGGCAGGAACGATAGTCGGATCCGTCACTGTAGTAGGAAAGTGAAAATTAAGCATCGAGCGGATAATTGCTGCAACATCACCGCGGAGATGGTCATCCGGGTGGCTTGTGAAATAAATATCATAGCAATCGATGTGAAAGGTAGACCGGAAGAGAGAGTCAGTTATCAACAAAATGGATGTCATTGTCAATATCGTGCACCTCCACCTCCCAGATCTTGACAATGAGGCGCACTCCAGTTGACGATCTTTAGCTTATAATGAGAAATAACGGTGCACCAAGTTCAAAATTAGCGCGCACTGCATCATCTCTTAATTGGATGTCATAATCAACATCATCTTGCCAAAACTGTATGGTAATTTGTTCATTGCAGCCCCTTGCATTTGTATATAAAATTATATATGTTACATTTTCAAAACTCAATCGCTTAGCAAAACGATTCCATTATTTTGGAAGTGACAAGCCTGTTACTTATTTTTCTCATTTAAAGCACTGTTCGCTCGGCATATATTATTGATCGCATGACATTTTTAATAAGCAGTTTAATAGCGTTCATAGGAAATTCTCAAATTCCATTTGTTAACAAATTCAAATTTTTGTACTCTACATATGTATATATGTTAAATTCAATCTGAATTATTTTGCAATACAAATCAAACTACAGATTATTTAATGTAAAAGTAGATGCATACACAGTAGAAACGCTTTTTCAGATTCATCGGTAGTGGCGGATACAAACTCCCAACGTAGTGCCAATAAAAATTTAACAGTGGAATTCTCCAAACTTATATAGATATGATTTAGGGATCGTGAACACATGGCAGCTTACCCGAACAGCTGTTTGACAATTGACCCAAAAGTAACCAAAGGAGAACAGGCGCAATTTGACAAACAGAAGAATGCCATTATTTCTGTAGGAATTTGTTATTTTTGGAATGCATAAGTTCATTTCAACCTTCTCTAACTCTGTTTTGACTCGTTCATTTCAGTCCTCATGTATATCTTCACTTATCTTTAAACAAGCAAGCAATTTGAAATAGAAACTTCATGAAAATAATATCAGCTTTGGAACTGATTTCTTTATATCTTTTACTGTAATGCAAGACATTCATATGTATTGAGCAGCTCTGAGGAACTGATCGCCGAAATCTACATCAGATCCAGGAATGCCTTTAATATTTTTTACACAATTATCTATGTATGTATATAATTTCAAAAACAAGCGATATTTGCCTAGGTTCACCATTCGATTATTAGATTTTCTCCGATAACCCAGATATTTGCTAGGGCCACCACTATAGCTATATTACATTTTAAATTTTTACTAAAATATATGCCAATTGATTTCGGAGTATGTATACTGCATTTATATATAGCGGAAATAAGTAGACATTAATTTCAGTTTAAAAACGAATTGATTGTTTTGTGGAAAAAGTGTTTCTTTAATAACGTTATTAGTATGTCCATCTATATATACGATGTTGATGTATCCAAACCATTTACATACATATGTTCAATTACATTTCAATTAATATATCAATTTGTGCTGCAAATTACTGCAAATTTAGTCATGCCTAGTTATATATAAAATATTTCTTGATGCAGGTATTTATTTAAATGTATGCCAGTCAACTTAAAGAATACAAACATTGATAACAAAACCCCCAATGATTAACAAGTCAATTATCTGTTTGTGTAATTTAATGAAATCAAGAGCAACCATTCGTTTATTTATTAACAGCTAAGCATTTGATAAACATTCACCTATTTTCATGTGTATACACAACATACATTTATGTACACACATATGTGTGAATTCACGTACTCGGTGTATACATATGTATGTATAAATGTTTGGATGCCAATGCAGCAGTATCTAAATATACTTACATATGTACATAACTGTTGTCCCCAATATCAACCGCAGCAAAATTTAATTGTTTACATATAAGCAATTAAATCATTATTGACTTGGTATATATGTACATACATTCATTTTTAAGTTGCCGAGTAAGTTAAGTAGATTGGACGACTAAAATATTTTTAAATTTTTTCTCTTTGGCGCAACTAAGAGCCAGATTAAATGAAGATTTTAGTTCAGGGTTTTAACACGCCATATATTCTAAACAACACGTTTTCATTACAACCAAATATTATCTACGTTACACAGTGAGCCTTATCAAAATCGTAACCAAATTTATTTACTTTTCATATGAAAAAAAATCGTTCAAAACGTGATTCTACTACTCTCATAGCGCACAGGATACATGTGAATTATGAGATCTATTCAATTTTTGTTTTTCAAACGTTGCATTGTGCTGTTATGTTCCTTACATATATGAGTAATCACGATCGAGGAAAAATTAGATTTTTTATAGAATTTATTTGCAAAACTCTAAGTAAGACTTAATGAATACGTGATTCGGCGATTTTAGAAATACAAACCGCAAGTGTGAAAAATTGGCAAATTGACTTTCGATTTACATCTGACTCATTTTCAAAGATCTAAAAAATTACTTTGATACTATTCGCAGGGAGGGGTGGTCTTTGGTGGAAACTGCGGACTAGAAGTGGTATGAGCGAATGTTTATTATCCGGTTTCAAATTCACCCCACCGAGACTACATCGAACATCGAACTGATGGGATTTAAACAAAAATAAAAAGTAGACAAAAATTAAAGCTCTTTTTAATAGGAATATTATATATAAAATCGCAATAATTTGTCCAAACTTTAAAACTTCTAGTATTAAAGGTCTGATATCCCAATTGAGAAAATCTGCTTTTCGCTGGATCCTCTAGAATATACATACGATAGAATCAAAAGACACTTCGACTAGTATGTTTTTAATCATGTTCAGACATTTATCATTTCGTGGATTGTGAACAATCTTCGCTGCATCTGTGTTCTTATATAATAGTCTAATAGGATTGTCATGAAATGTGTAACGCAAGGAGCAGACATCTCCACCATTAATTCAGTATTTACAGCAACGTCGGTACAGCTATGTCAGTTTTAAAGCTATCGTCATGACATTTTACGTTGATCCGTCTTCTATGTATGCAATACATATGGCGGAACCAGATCGTGACGCTATATTAAATAGCTGCCATATATGTAAACAAATCATAAATCGATATGGTGCCGTCATACTCTTAACACGCGCCCTTTGAGCTTGTTCAGTGCTTCTTCTTAATTTATAGGCCGATATTTATGAAATTTTAAGAGCATAAATATGGCTCTACCTTTAAAAATTAGTATTGCACAATTTTAAGGGAAGCGGGTAAGAGGGTATAAACAAAAAGTGAAATATTCTGATTCTCTGAATAGTAAAAAGTCTAGTTACTAAAATATGTGCTTCTAGCTCTTATAGGCCCCATGATATGTTAAAAAAAGATTGTTTATATGGACTTTTATAATTTCATGAAAACCGTGAGGTAACAGTAATTTGAATCAACAACCACACAGAATATATATAAAGCGTTCTACTGTATGTTAAATACATTTCCACAAAACCAAAACATCTTTCTTACCCATTTTGGGTAAGATTGCGGGTATAAAAAGTAATAGCATTTGTCGATTATGTTAACAAATGCCTTGCTATTCGCTTGAAGCTCGTTGCAAATATGAACTACAACTATGCGTATTTCCAAGATATCGTTAAAGTTGGTATTGAAATACTGTCGGTCTAGCCATGTCCGTCTGCCAGTCCGTCTGCCGTATGTATGAACTCAAAGATCACAGTACCTATTAGAGCCAGAGATTTTAAAATAGAACGTAGGTCCTCCAAGTGCTCGCGCTTGTCCCATTTCGAAGTAATCGATAAAAATCGATATCGAAATCCTTTTTTTTTTTTAGAAAATCTGTTAGTTTTAGAGGTAGAGTCACCAAACTTGACGTGTAGCTTCTTGAATAGTTTACATATATCAAGTATCCTTTATTTTAGTGCTATCAGCACCTCCTCGCTATTATCACATAGCTATAAATCTACTGCTACCGATGAAGATCGGTTATGATGAATGAATGTTGACCCCTTATTACCTGCAGCAGCCCTTTGGGCCGAAAGGGTAAACGCTTGGCAAGCACCTGCACCTGTCAAGTGACTGATCAATTCAATGATTTTATGACCAGCGGAAATTTGTGCAAAAATTAAAATCTTTAATATATTCAATTTAACCAATCAATAAAGGAGCGATTATACATTTATAGTATTAATAATTTTATTGACTTATAATATTTAGCTTTTTCATTAAATTTATTCAATTCAAACCCAAAATCATAAAAATCAAGGGCGCGCGTCAGACGCGTGTCAATAATGAAATTTTCTTTTGCGCCCATGATCTGCTCATTCACACACATTTGTGTCTGTGTGTGTGTGTGCTTTTTTTTATTGGGAAAAACAGGTTTAACATTGTAGGTTGTAAGCAAGAGAGTTTCAAGATGAAAATAAAACAATCAGAGAAAGACAGGATAGTTTATAGTGAGTAGAAAGTTGTAGTTCGCTCCTGCGGGACAACCGCAAAGTACTACTTCGATGCCGCGTCGTGTGTGTGTGGATGTTGAGGTTAGAAATATTAAAATCCCAAAAACTTCAAATCTTGTCAAATTTGCATTGGACAAGTAGGCAACCAACAGGCACACAAACGCATAAATGGTTCTATTCATATATAAAATGTGCAAGTGTACGTGCACGGCAAGACCATAAAATGTAAAATGCACACATGCCAACGCTTAGGTAGCCTTACCAAGAATAACGAGGTAATGCAAGAATTTGCATCGACGTGGCAAACCCTTTCATTATTTCATATTACTTGTCCTTTCAAAAGGGATGAAATGTCTCTGATATTTGAGAAAAACTGAATTTCTGTGCATTGTTGCTTGTGTGGACACATACACACATAAGATCCCTAACATAATGAGTGAGCATTGAGAGCACTGAGAGTAAGCCAAAGCAGTTTCCTGTAGTGGGAGCGAGTTAAAAGACAGCGATGCCGTTCTACCACACAAATCAGATGTATTTTTTTCTCTCTTGCTCGCTGAGCAAGTAAGCGTGACTTGTATTCGAACAAAAACGAAGACGAGTTTGGACCAGATGTCAGCTATATTGAATGTCCACATTAATTGTACTGGATGTCTCATCTATATGTTGTTTGGTTAGTGCTCCTAGTCAGGCTAAATTTGACTAGTACCTTCTTAATTAGATCAAGAACCTTTCATTTTGTAGGTACCGCCAACCCCTTCCAACTGCTTTCTTCTTTGAAATTAGATAAGTAATAAAATAAGAACTACCACCACCAATTTAAGCTAAAATATTAATTCTATTGAATAATTTTGACGGTATCGTTGACCCTTATTTGCATTGATAAGAACGTGTCCATTTGACGTGTTATGTTGAGGTGGAGCGTTTACTATTTTGATACCGAAAAGGTTTTAATATAGACCTTTTTGCAGTAGGAAGTAGGAGCTGCTTCATTGTCGCAGTGAATTGTTTTGGTTTTAGAAAAGGCGTTGATTAACTGTAAAAGTGGCCCTATTATTTCTGAGATGATACGTCATGCCATGGGTTGTAACATTGCAAATTTTTAAAACTCATCAAGGGCAGTGAAGAAGTTTTTCCCGGCAGTTGGATGGAAATAATTTTTCCGGCATATAATAGGATTGTGGTAACGCCGAGCTCTGGTTTTTTTATTTCTCTCTAGGGCTTGGCCTAGGCACAAATTTTGCAGTCTGTTACGATTTCTGAGGCCAACCTGTTCATTTTCGGAAAATAGTACGGTTCACTGGTGTCTGCGCAGTCCTGTGATCGCCATTATGTTACAATTTGCTACAATTTCCCTGTGCCCATCCCTGTGAAAACTATCGGAGACCCTTGTTTTGCGGTACCAAAACGTTGTCTAGGAAATGCATCGACATGAGCATGATGGATGCAGCACAAGACGAACAGCTCGCAATATATGGCGCTAACTACGTGGGACTCGTCACGGTGTCAATGATGAAAACCCAATTTTCAAAATAAATATGATGCCGGGTCTTTTCGCCATATATAACAAAGATTTAACAGGAACTTTAACAACCTTTAACAGAACGTGCCACTTCCAGTACATTTGGTTTATGAAACAGTTCAATGGTTTCTCACTAGCCTCGATCGTATAACTCGAGGAAAAATCAGTGTCATACCCGCGTCGGACCGTGGTGCGTCTTCCAACGCGTTGACGTTCTGTCTGGACAATGCATCCGCTATATGGTTTTCTTTTACTAGCTTGTAAAATAGTTGTAAAAAAGTTGCATCATATTCGGCGTTGAACGCATTCCAACGTATTATTTTTGCGTTAGGGTTTCTGACGGGAACAGC